TCCCTTCTCCCCAGGGCATGCTGGCACAGCAGGACTGAACACACTTTTACTTCCATTAGGAACATCTTCCTCAGCACTGTGCTCTGCTCTCCCTCTTTCATGACTACCTGAGAAACTGCTGAGGTAGAGGAATAATGAAGAGTTTCCTACTGAATGTTTTTAGTTTTAACTAAGAGTACGCTTGGGCACTTCATGATCGTAGTGCTTAGCTGGATGTGATTATTGCAAAGACTCTGAATAATGCGCAGTATTGCTGAAGTCGGATTTCCTTATCCCCTCTTACTGATACATAAATTGCTTTTTGTCTAAATGTAGATTAAAGCGGAGTTTGTATTGTGACCTAGATGTTCAAAACCATGTACAGATTACGAGTAAACTGGGAGGAGAATCCAGCATGATTTTTGTGGCTCTGGTTTTTCCTACCTTAGCTACTGCTGGGGAGCAGAAGCACTTCTGGTGACAGAGCCTTTTAAAATGATACTGCATCTGATTAGATAGATGTAGGATTGGACTATTTTACTATGGTGGCCCAGAAAAAAGGGGAAACCCTGACGTATGTGATGACCCAAATTGAAATAGCTCTTGTTGACTTGTTTAAAACAGATTCTTCTCTTCTCTGTACCCTGATAATTAGTAGACCAATATCCCCACCATGACTACAGCAGAACCAACATGCTGATATTGCTTCTCTCGCTGCACATGGAAGTATTAACTATGTTAAATCCTTTGGTGTTTTCAGTATCTTGCATATAACCAGGAAATAACTTTTCTTGATATTGTAACTGGCTGCATGGTATGATCTCTTACAAGCTATTAGTGATGATTTTTCAAATACTCTAAGGAATTGCAAAAAATTGATTGAAACAACTTCAGTACAAAGTTGCTACATGAGTAAAAATAATAAGGGATCTGCTGACTTATATTTGTTGGCCCCCAAGTCTACACAGTGTACCCAATGTTGCTAATGAGGACAGGTTAGAACTCTGTTCAAGTGTGTTTTTAATGTTTAATTATGGCATTTGTAATTGACGAGTTCTTTAACTTGATTTACCATTGGAATTACTATTTCAGTAAAAGGGGAGACTGCGTGTATTATTTGGCAATCGTAGTGCTCTATGAATTTTAATTAAAGCTCAATACCACTGCTGCTGGAATGAGGTGAGTATGAAATTTTGAATTTAATTATGGCCTACAGGCCAGAATGCAGCCATGGAATCCAAACCCCATGCTCCCTATGGTCACTTGGCTTGTCTTAAAAATTCCAGAGCATTGAAATACTTCCTTGTTCCAGTCTGTAGATGAGAAATTTCCGACTTGCGCCTCTGTTCTTAAAATGAACAGGCATGTGTTTACTTAGCAACATATCTATAAATATCTTACAAGATGCAAATCTTACTATTTGCCTTACCACAGTTCTGAATTATACTATGTACATAAAACTGAATACCTGTTTCTCTAAATGAGAATGCCCCTACTGCCTGCAACTTCAATGCCCTATTTCAAGGGAATGGTACTCTGCACACTTCCTCTCCTCACTTAAACTACTTAGATACGGCTTTTTCAGGTGTGCCATACCTTTTACTACCTTCTGCAGAAAGAACATGAGGTATGACACCTGGTCTCTTGAAAAAGGCTTGTGAATCCTCACAGGCTTCTGCATAGTGGGACAATACAAATCATAAGATGCTTTAAATGTGCTAATTTTAGAAGTTAGATGCATCCTTACTGGGAATTTCTAAGTATGTAGATCCTGAGATGTCTTTGATTTCAGTGAAACAGCAGCAAGAACATTGTGTGGCAATCTTGATTCTAGTTTAAATAAATCTTCATCAGACCTCAGTGTTTTTAAGTTACTAAAGCACTGGAGAAGTGTTTTTATTACTAGAGTGTTGAAATGATTTGAGCAGGTGTTATACTGAAAATATTTTCCAATTCCTTGTCAGAATGTTGCTAGTATTTTTGGGTTTTAACAAAAATCAGGACTATAGTCAATGGTGTTTATGGATGTCTAACTGCTTAGAATACTTCTTAGCCAAGACCAGAATCAATACGCTTTTTAGTAAGAGAAACCCTTTTTCCAACTGCATTAGTTTGTCATGCCCCTGTGTTGCTACCAATGTAAAATTAGGATGAACAGGTACCTCTATTTATGTATACATGTGCCACTAGCTACTTCAGGGTTCTGGCGTGCTGATCAGTCATTATTACTGATGTTAACCGAAGCACTTTTGTGCAATTTCTTAAGACTGAGCCAATCCTCTGTGCCTCTCAGTGGCATAATAAAGTGAAAATAACCACACTGGTATCTTACATAGAACAAGCAATCACCTATACAGCAAAAATCTTTTATTAAAAATCACAGCACACAGATCCTTGGCCAGTAAAGGCATACATGAAAGGACATAAATACATATACAATACGCTTATGCAATTACCAAGAGTTATCATCACAGATAGCTTCATGTTTCTAGCAGTTTATTTCCTATATAAATGCTGAGCAAATAAACTGTGCCACACCCCACCCCCAAATGGTAAAGTTATGTGGCTGCAAAAAATGTGCAATTTCATTCAACTGTTTAAGACACACTCAGCACAGTACCCCACGCTAATTCTGTTTCATAAAGGCACACTTATGTAGTATCCTTCAGCTTCAGATAGGCTACAAGTAACAGACTGATCCATTTCCAAGTTTTCCTAGACATTACCTAAATAGTCTGTATTAGAAAGTAATAACTGGCATATTATGTTGGCATAAAGTAGTTCAAGTTCCAAGGTAAAAGCATATCTTACACAGGTACATGTAGCAACAGATTTCAGTCTTGCAGGCAGTGTTCTAAATAAAATATATAGTAGTGTAGGTGTTGACAGTTTGTCAAGCATACAGCAATAGCAAAAACATTTCAACTCTGATGCTGGAGCTGAGCTGAACAGAAACTAATAGAAATGCAACTCTTAATCATCTTGCCATGCTGCTGGGCTTTTAATCAAATCTGCAAAGCTAACACCTTGGCCCCGAAAACATTAGCGTTAGCAGATAGGAAATACAAATTTAAATGCTCAAAAATGAGGCATTTCAACTACAGAAAATGTAACATCTGTCAAAAGTATGACACATAGAAGCTGTATTTAGCAAACTTCACACAAACGAGGCTAGACGTTCAGAAAAGAAAGTATTCAGTTACAGGAATAGTAATTTCTAACTTGGGTTTGGTTTTTAAAAAATCTTGAAGTGACTATAGGAATTCTTGGAAGCTTGAGGATTTTTTAACTGGAACTGTTAGTTTATTCAGTATGGCAATTAATGTTTTAGCTACTTATTTTTACACACTATAAGTCATGTTGCATGTAACTTAAAAAAATCACTGGAAAATAAAATCAACTTTCTAGCTGAGTTTATGCCATTGTCAGCTTTCAATATTTCAGTATCAAGTCTTGGATACGATCATGGAGAGGGCAAGTCATAAACAATTAATTTCTCTACTGTATCTATTAGCTCTGGTAGAACGCTAAATGCCCGATTTAAAAAATAATTTAAAAAAAATTCTGTAAATAATAACAAAAAGCTCAATAGTGTTACAGATCAACTCAATGGTAGTCCTGAGTGGATACCAACATAAGCTTACAGACTTGACACAGTTGCCTAACTTATAGTAACATGCTGATATCTAGAAAAGCTAAAGTGATAATTTTTCCCCACACTAACAAGAATATTAAAAATGGAAAGTATTTATGAAGAGAAAACTTAGAAATCAGCAGAAACACTACTTAAAAAAATAAAAAGCCCAACATATTGCTAACCTATTGCCACTACGAAGGGCTACAAAAAAGACGACAAATCTGTTCCTGGATAATTTAGTTTTCACTAAGGACCACAACAAAATGTTCCACTCTAATATAGCTGCTATAAAGACCAAAACCTGCTTATTTCTCAGCAGCACTTAAACATCCTTTCAAATGCTAGACCCACTGAAGTCAGACTCCTCCCCCTGACTTTCAAGAGAGACAAAGATTACAGCATGGTTTTCGAGTATGAAAACATCACATACTAGATTTCTGAGATGATGTCAGGAAATACGGGACCTAGTCCTTAGAAGGTATGAAAGACTGCCTTTAATTACTACTTTGAAAACATTCAATTCATATGTCGTTCAAAATACGTTTTATATTTTGCTTTAGAAAAAATGGGCTCAAAAGTTAATTTTGGACTGAAACTTTAAGTTTTAAAACTTTAGTGACTCACTCATGCAATACACAGATTTTTCTTGATCACTCAAAATAGCATTAATAGGTCTTTCACATGCAAATTCTTTCTAGTAAAATATATTAAAAAAATCCTGTACTAGTTAATGTTTTTCTGGGGTTTTCCACACATGTGGGATGTTTGCTCTCTCCCAAATGATTCAATGTGCTTTTAAAATATCAAAAAAGCCGAAAAACTTCATCTTTTACTTCTGTGGAATTTCCCAGTTAACTGGGATTGAAATCTAAGCCCTGTATTTGCGGTAAGGGGGTGTCTAGTAAGAAAACTAAAACCACTTACCAAAGGACAAGAATCTGTCAAGCCTTCCATGTTAATTTGTTTTGCAACTAGAGCAAAACATGGGTAACCTTAAACAGAAAAGCATATAACGAAGCCATGTCAGACCAAGATCCAGATATTAAGTATGTAAGAGTGGTCACCATCATTTCTGAGCTTCATCTCCCAAGTGTGCAGGCAGTACACCTAGGCAGGCAACGGGCTGTGCTGCTGTCAAGAGATCTGCTATGCTAGGTACTTCACCTCACACTTGTGTAAGAAACACTTAAAGAGAATTTCTTTAACTATTAAGTATTTCTACGCACAATGTTTTCCATGGGGTCAAATATCAGATGGAGATCCAGCATTTCTCTGCCATTAATTTTGCTAGCAATGAAAAACACTTTTTTGGGGGGGGGGGGGGGGGTGGGGGGGGGGGGGG